AGGGACCAGGGAGAGGCGGGAGGGGTGAGCCAGGGAGGCTCAGGCAGTCCAGGAGTCCCGGCCGGGGCCTGCAGGCCTTGAAGGATGGAGGAAGCCTTCCTCTTCCTCCTCCTCCGACGAGAGCGAGGCAGTGGCATTACAGCCTCTGGGGGCGCTGCAGCCTCTTCGGCTGCCTCTGGCGGCGCTGCAGCAGGCCCATTCTTCCTCCTTCTCTGTTTATGGGTCATTGGAGGGCTGGGGCTTCCACTGACTGCAGGTGGAAAAGGGGGGACAGTCAGTGGAGTGGGACTTCGCTTGGTGAGGGGGTTCAGGCTCCCCACGATGGTAGACATGATATATTAAGTCCCAGAAGCCAAGATTCCCCAGCTTCTCCATCTCCTACAGGCTGAGAGGATGATCGAGGCAGATGTTGAAGACCTCCTTAATATCAGCCTCACTATAGTCCAGATTGTCCACCTCAATGAGGAAGTCACAGGCAAAGTCCCTCACATCAGCCCCCTACTGACGGAAGTAACGAGCATTTACTTGCTGGATCATTTGCTGGTGGGTGGACAATCCGGTGGTAGGAGATGGGAAAAGGAAGATGACCATCTTTGGTGAGTCCTCTTTTGGTCAGCTCGTACTGTCAGGGTTGGGGATGAAGGGATGAGGTGAGGACTCACTGATGCAGGAGATGGGCTTTTATTAAAAAAATAAAACAAAAACAACCCCGTGGGGGAAAAATAGGCTGGCACGACAAGGCAAGGCAAGGCAGGATCAGGACAAGGCTGACAGGATACATGCGATGACGAACTGGCACGGGACTGCAAAACACAAGGAGAATAAATAGGGAGCAAATGAGGAGGGTAACGAGGGAAACACAGGTGGGGCAAATTAACCAATAATCAGGTAACAAGATGGGTGGAATCAAGTCAATTGACATGAGAGCACATGGCACACAGGAAACAAGGACAAAAGCCATGTGCTCACACAAAATCAAAAACACAAGCACATGGCCAGCAAAACAATCACAAGCCATGTGCTTGAACAAAACAAGACACAAACACGCAGCTAATGAGAATACTCATAAGCCGCGTGTTCACACAAGACAAGACAGCACGCAGCCAGCGAAAACCAAGCTGTGTGCTACACAGCACAAGACAAAACGGGACATGAAAGCATGCAGCCGATAACACGAACTGAGTGCAACAACAACACAAGACAACAAGAAAAGCACGCGACTGAACACAAACCGCGTGCTACACAAAACACAACACACGTGGACAGAAGAGCGCACGGCCGAGCAAACTCGAGACCACACGCTCCCACAACAAGACAGAACATGGAGCGCGAGTGTCCAGACCCAGACACAAAACCAAAACTCAAGACATGAGTGCTGGGATCCGAACACCACGCTCCAACATGAAACAAGTCACGCAGACAAGAGAGCGTACGGCTCGATAATACTCGAACCCGCATGCTCACATAAAAACAGGACATGATGGGAGTGTCAGGGCTCTGTCACAAAACCATGAATAACACTAGACAGAAGTGACAGAACCCTGACAAAACCTTGTTCACTAAACTGAGACGTACTCCTATAATTATCCGAGGTTTGGTCTTAGGTAATTTTGCATTTCTAACTATTGCAACAGCACAATGATCACTAATATCAAGTGCGTAAACGGATGCTGCTGAATATCTATAAGGTGCATTAGTAAAAATTAAATCGAGAAGTGATGATTTATCTGGCTTTTTTAAGTTTATCCTGGTTGGAGTATTTAGTAATTGCTGAATATTAAAAGTATCAAAAAGGAGTTTAACTTCAGTAGACAAAGGCTGTAACCAGTTCCAATTAAGATCTCCAATTAATACTATTTCCTTAAAATTAAACTTAGATAGAGAATCTATTAAAGATAAAATAGATTAATTTGTTGCTGACAGAGGTCTATAACAACCCACAACATTAAGAGCTAAAGTCTTTGAAAATACTACATCGACTGCCAGTAATTCAAATTGTTAGATATTGATTTAGATATCAACAGAGTTGTCGCATACCTATTTTTTTATATAAATCACTAACCCGCCCCCTCTTTTTGGCTGATCGATTCAAAAAACATTATATCCTTCAATATTAACGGCATGGTCTGTAATTGAACTTTAAAGCCAGGTTTCAGAGATTACCAGAACATCAGCATCGGTATTCTTTATCCATATACACACTGTATCCATTTTAGGAAGTAAACGTCATACATTTAGGTAAACAAAGCCTAACCCAGATCTGATTTTAAAATCTGCCGGAGTAGAATATGAAGCTGTAACATCTTGTGGGCCCAGATTTAATGCAACTTTCCCAGAAATGGGGAATAGTCAGTGAGGGGATGGCGATGATTTCAAACACAGCTCGTGTCAGTGCCTGCACTTCATAGCATGATAAGAAAGTTGTACTGCATTACGAAAAATTAACACAGTTAAACTGATAATGGTTTTACCGGTCTCAGGCGTCTGCTGAGGGACACAAACATTTCTGTAGGTATATGAAGGAATACCAGCAATCATCCCTTCAAGCTTCAGCTCAACACACTGTCCAGCTGTGCTTTGGTTGAAGTGGATTTCTGCAGTGCACAGCTCCTCATCCTCAAAACATGAGTATAAAACCTTTTGCTGTGGAAGGAGAAAAGAACAGAGTGATTTTAACAATTCAACGTCCAAACATGACTAACATTTGAATAAGGACATGGAGGAGTCTGTGCAACCGCATTCCAACCTCATCATGTGTGACTGTGTACATAAATTCTTCATTCAGTATGTCTTGCTTATGAAGCATGAACGGGTGCTGAAAGGACACTTCAATCACATCTTTGTGGACAGATGTATTTACAGCTGGAAAGTCCAAAGAGCCTGGAAAAAGCAAAAGCCGATATTGCATTAATTTCAGGCAAAATAACAAGAAAAAAATGAAATAGAAAAGTCATCTGGCAATAGACTAAAGCAAATTAATTCCAAAACTAAAATTCAAATATCCAAATAGATTTGCATTTCCTGAAGGAAACAGCAGCAGTGCGTAAAGGCAGCAGAATGAGAGTTAAAGATTTAGTGAAGTTCATTTTCTTTTAGGCTTTGTTTCTGGGTAAATGAAATGCTGCCATATAAGAACGAACAAATTATTAAATAGGCCTAGATGCAGTAGGGAAA